GTTTGGACTTGCAAATTCTAAAAATAGACTTGCAAATACTTGCAAATAACTTGCAAAATAATGGCATAGCTTTAAAAAAAAATTAAGTACTTAGGTGGGCCAACTTCACGAACGTATCAAACACTGGCAGAATTAGAGGTGCTTGTGCGCTAGGTATTAGAAAATTACTTAGAGCGTAACATTTTATATTTACCATGTCGTCACCATATTTATGAGTTAGTTTTAAAATGTGTTTTTGATACAAAACTATGCACGACATCTGGTCCAGATGTACCAATATTTAAAAGGTTTCAACAATATTGGGGAAATCTAAATACCGAAAAATTTGAACCTGGAACTATAAATGAGTTCATACAAAAAAATGTAAGTGATGTGCGTTCTGATGTAATTAATTTTGTAGTTGATTATTTACAAATTAAACAACCAAGGGAAGATTATAGAGAGTTGTTAGAATTGACATTTATTTTTCTTGGGGGAGTGCCCCCTCGAGGAATTTCTTTAAGAGTACCCGGAGCCATCCATCATGCCAGGTGGATGGCAAAAGCTATATACTGTTTGAAAATATTTTTATTCCGAAGTAAATTTCGTTTAACACAGAAAGAAGAAATGTCTATTGCCAGTGTGTGTGTCTTCATTATTCGACTATTTCGACTATTATTTGACTTTCTTACGACTGATCCATCAAAATGGAACGATGATGAACATTTTAAAAAATCTACTGCAATTGTCACCAACATAAATGTAGTCAATGATATTGCTGAAAGAGGAGTTAAACTTATAGAGGAATACAATACAAAAATTACCAATGATGAAACTCAAAAACAATATTTGCTCCAAGTTGTGTGTGACTACCGCAATAAATACCCAGACTCCAAGAAGAGTACTATTTTACATAAAAAGTTTTAAAAAAATTAAATCTGAGTATAAACATTAATAAAATAAAATTTTTTTTTTTAAATATTTGTTTTATGAAAAATGTATAAGAATAAAAAATACACAAAATGTTATTTCAAAAAAATTATGTTCTTATACTTTTTTCGATACAGTCATTATTATTTGTGATATACTTGAAAAACATATCAAACTATGTTGTTTTCTACAAAACAGGGATTCGCAACTTCAACCCTTTTGTGGCACGGGTTAATATTGTCCGATTCTCCTAAAACTTTTTATACATCGTTTTTATAAGTATTCAAACTAATTTAGGTTGTATAATTAACACATTTTCAAGGTTCAGTTTTAAGGACCACCCTAATAAGTATAATATTGCTACCTACTGTTTTGATTTTCGTCGATAACAACCAGTTTCCTACGAAAATCACACTTCCATATGGGTCACAATTTGAGTACAGCGCGGGCTTGGAATCAAAGAGCTCTATATCAAACATTTTCAAAACGGTTTTTTTTTTCTGTTCAGTCGAGAATTATTTTTCTCTGTTTTTTAGTCTTAGAAATAGTGAAGTCGATCCAATATTTAAAAAGTTAGAAACAAAAGGTTCTATGTGACCCTTATCCAAACAATGTGTTGGATACATCGATAGAACATTTTGTTTTTTAATTTATATTTAAATCAAAATGTGTTATCTAATAAACCAATTAGCTATTGGAAACAAAAAGTGTTATAGGAAATTAGTGTATGTAAATATACAATATTTATAGTGCATCTTTGTTGTTGGTATTTATAAAAATTGGCTCATTTCACACACGGTACGTCGATGGTACTAAAATACCTAAATAGGTACCTACCTACCTTAGATGATCAGGTCAGTACCTATAATGAAGCACAAAAAACAACACTTTGTTAAAATTAAAATAGAACAAATCAATTAATTTCGGATCAATATGTTCTATCGATAGAACGTTTTATTTAAAAAAAAAATAGAATTGGAAAAAAAAGTTCCATCAGTAGAACCTTTTGTTTCCAAACTAGGAATTTTTTAAGTTATGTAATATTTTGAGTACTTACAAGGATTTATTTTTATAATACCTATAAATAAATTAATAGCACTGAAGATTGTGGATTTTTCATTGTGGAAATATTTCAAAATTGCTTGGGCAAAAATACGTTATTTTAATTTTTGAATCTTAAAAGCGCTCTACTGAACAATTTTGATATTATCATTTATCACATACAACTCTTTGATTCCAAGCCCGCGTACCTATTTGGCCAATATTATTAGGATTATTTATAGTTATAAAAGGTTATAACTATGAAATAAACTAATAATTTTTTAATAAAAAAAAAACACATCATTGTAAAATCAATACATTCATCGTTCCACTCAGAATCTAAAATATGCATAAAAAATGTGCTTATTGAACATTTAATTCAAACAATATGTTTAAGACTATGGAACAGTACTTTATTAAATACTTTTCTTAATTTTATGTTGTGAGCGGAGCGAAAGAATGTATTTTTCTTTACTTTCATAATTTTGTAGGTAGTTTTAATTTGTATGAAAAAAATGGCAATCAATTAATATGAAACTATTTGAGAAAACCATTTATACCTACAAGATACCTATTAATTTATTTAATTTATTAAACGAAACTATATAATACTTTTTTCTTATACTACTATTATAGTATATATTTCATAAATGTCAAAAAAATAAAAAAATAAAACATCGAAATATGCACTAAAATATGAAATATGCAATTAATATTGTAAAATAAGCCCTTAAAGTAATCGAAATATTCAAAAATATGCACTAAAAAAGTTTCTTTTTTAAATCGCTATGTCATGAAACAAATTCTCTGCTCACTTAGTATATGTATAGTATATCATACGACCAACCAGAATAAATATTCAAATGGATACAAATCCGCGCTCTAATGATTATGTAGTTCACTAATTCAAAAAAAAAACAATCGATTTGATAAACGATGAATATTTAGTTTGGCGGAATACACAGCGAACGAAAAGCGTAAGAAAACGCAGTGTGCCCGTGTATTATAGCACTATAATAGCCCCATTGGCCCAGGCCCAGCTAACTGTCTGTATACTACTATTTTAATAATGCATTTTGTAAACTATTCTAATTTTAAGCTGTATATTGTAATATTGTTAATCATCTGTTATTGTTTGTATACTTTTTGTAATTGCCGTTTGGCGTAAATAAAGTAAAATAAAATAAATAAATAATAAGTGCGAATTATAAATATATGTTTACCTATACTGTATCACTCTGTGTTTAATTTTTAAAAAATGTTTTTGTTTCTTTGTAAACGTAGGTACATTTAAATTGGGCTTGTCCCGTATTATATTCAATAAATAAATAAATAAATAAATATTGAACAGATCTTATAAAATATAATATTTAGAAATAGTATGTAGTAATATTGTGCAAATCCAGATTTAAGAACCTATTGGGCCCCGGGGCTGAAATTTCATATGAGCCCTTTTGACAAAACATGCTTTACAAAGCCGCTCGCAGCAACATACATTTTTCAAACTATTTCACAAATTGACAATTGCATTATATAATTATAAAATTAATATTTAAATGTAATTTATGTCTATAAACCTACTCATTTGATTGTAGTGTAATAAAAGTTAATACTTTATATTTCATTAATTTAAATTCAAATTTTCATAATAACTTTTAAATTTATTAACAGTATACTCATTTACATTCACTTACAAAAACCATTTTATCAAATAATTTTTTTTCTTGCTTTACTACTGTTGAAGCCAACTCTCTTAGTACTTAATTTATGTTTAATGATTTTAACAAATCATTTTCAGAATATAAAATCATTAGTATGTCTAAGTTTTCTTGGGTTCGACTGACTGGTTATATACTTTTTTTTTACTCTAGTTAATTTAGAAAACAGAGGGACTGTACATAAATAACATTATTAACTATTGATGAAAATGAAAATATTAAATAAGAGTAAAATGCGTCTTTTCTACCATAGTTCTTTTGTAGGTAGGTATTTACTATTTAGTTGTTATTATCGATAAAAACAAGTTTTTAAAATATAAAAAAACTTTTCTTTAAAATCACTAAAAAATGTGTATCGGCTGAAAATTGTTTGGGTCCCTTTCATTTTGGTACTTGAGAGGGCCCCGGGGCTCCCGTCCCAACTACACCCCTCTTAATCTGGCCTTAATATTGTGTAATATATTGTTCATAACATTTATGAAAGCTTCAATTTTATATTTTGTTTACAGTTGTTATTTATTTTCGTTTACATTATTCACGGCATTATATTAACTAATTGTTTGATGTTTATAAAAATAAAAAAACTCCTTTTTGATCCAATTAAATTCATCGAGTAAAAAATGAGAAGTAGTTAGATAACTATAATAATTATAATTATTTTAGTTGTTTTTATATGGTCGAAAGGTTGGGTATGCCCCTATAATATTAAATCTATGCTACCTACTATGTGATTATTAATAATTATGATTATTGTTGTGTGCACACCAGTTTTATTTAACAATATATTTATTTTTCTTCATAAAACACACACACATGCGTCCAAATATTAATAATATATTTCAACTACTGAACTACATATTAATTAATAATTACCATTTTGTCATTGTGACAATAATTTCTTAGTACCTATGAAATTAGTAAACTAATATCTTTCAAAATTATTACAAAAATAGGAATGTTTTTGCACCAATTAAATATAATAATGGTTAAACTCAAACAACGGCGAAGTATTATGTAACCAGGATACCATATATTATTATTATAAACACCCAGCTCAAACATATTATGTTTTTATGTTTTTAGACAGTGCAGTTGAACAAAATTGTCTGTTGATAGATACAAATGTGAAATATATTGTAATGGACGGTGGCATAGATCCTACGTGGATTGAGTCATTAAACACAGTGATGGATGACAATAAGGTAAGAAATACTTTATGATTATACATTACCACACTTTAACGAACTCTGTTGATATAATATAATATTATATACATTATACAGGTGTTGACGTTGGTGAGTACCTAATGAACGTAGTGCCCTGACACAGACAATGAGTCTACTGTTCGAGATTATATCCAATTTGAGGTCCACCACGCCAGCCACTGTTTTCCGGGTTGGTATACTCTACTTAAACCCTCTTGATCTTGGCTGGAATCCGTATGTCGCTAGTTGGATTGACAATAGTGATAATGTATCCGAAAAAGCTGCTCTTCTGGTACTGTTTGATAAATATGTGCCCATATCTGTTTGGAAGCGCTTAAAACAAAATTCAAAATCATGACACCCATACCGGAAATAACGCACAAACAAATGTTGTGTGTTCTGACTCTCATCAGTTGTCCCCCGGAAACTGCTATTGATGTGTACGAAACTTATTTTGTGTTCTTTTGTCTTTGGGCTTTTGGTTCAGCAACATTACAAGATCTGCAGGTGCCTACAATTAGTATTATTTTTTAATATAGTTAGCGCTCATAGGCGCAAATTGACTAAATTTTTTGGGGGGACTCAAGCCCCCTCCACAAAGGTCATAGTATAAGTAAAACAAATGTTGGAGGGAAACGCTCTCCATAAAATCCCCCACCCACTGAGCAACTATCGTTACGGATATATAAAAATACAAAGTATTACATTTTTAGAATATATTTATTTTAACACAATTCTCCGTTCTTTTTCGGCAAATACATTTAAAATACCTTCTGTATTTATATTATTAGATAAATCCCTCTCAATATGTAGGTAGAATAGATAGAGTTGAGAACTTAGTCTGATCCATAGTTGACCTCTTCCAGAGATTCCATTATTCCAATAAATATTAAAATATAACCTAACAAGTAAGTAATAAACATATATCTTAGTCCGTGGATCGTGGTAACAAATAATAATTATTAATGATAACAAAATGCTCCGTTCAAAAATTAGCTCGTAAACCGTCGATTGTGGAGGTCAACAGCAACCACGGCATTATTCTTTGGCTATAGATACTATAGCCGTGATCGTGACACGACAGCCCTCATAGTTTATCACCTATAAATTACTTATCAGTTATCAATTATCAGTTTGACCACGAGGCACGGACTAAGATATGTTATAGTATTTTTTATAAAGATTTTAAAAAAAAACTAGCATAATAATAATTTTTTTTCAATAATTGTATTTTGTAATTTGGTTAAGTTTTTAAAATATATACATGTTTAGTACTACAGAATATAATAATTAGTACTAATTACTAGATTTTGAACTGGGGGGACTTGACCGAAATCTGGGGGGACTAAGTCCCCCCAAGCCCCCCCTATTTGCGCCAATGTTAGCGCTCCATACTTATACAATTAATAAAATTGTATTTAATGTATTATTATACTATACCTTAGACATTTATAATAGAAATGTCAATTATATTTTGTGATCATTATGCAAAATTGGCAATTTACATATAGTTGATTGATTGACGAGTTGAATTTCCCAAATACCTACACCGACATTTTCTGTCTTAGGAATATCAATCTTAAATATTCATTAGAGCATAGAGTATACGTAATATATAATATAATATATATTATTAGAGTAATTACAATTTTAGTGTATTATAATTTTATAACTTAAGCCCTTTTTATTTTAGGCGATGAAAAAGTTACCCAAAAACATTGGTAACTACCATCCAGTGCAATTGTTAAATGAACTTCTACCGGGGCTAGAGTACAGAGTTACTGTTATTTCAAATCCTCTGGCAGACATTATGGTGCAAGTACAATAAATGGCTTATTAATTGTTCATACCCGTAGAAATGGGCGAGTGCTTCAACTGCAATTATTTGCTTCTGTGCTTATTAATTGTTGAACGATGTCATATTTTTATAATGCAACATTTTATTAGGTATTGATGTTATTAATATAAGTTTATAATTGGTTTCAATATTCCTTTTATTGTAAACTCAAATATGATCTATTATTTTTTATGAAATCACTTTACTGTAATATACAACAAAAATAAATATAATTATTAGTCAATTGCTTAAATGCAGAGATTGTTTTAATAAATAAATACACAAAAAAAAACATTACTATTTTGTAAATATAAATTGATTTATTTTTTGTGTACTAATAAATAATACCTATTCATGGAGATTTAAAATATGAAAAAGTAAGTGCTGTTATGGGACACTCAGTAGAAACGAAGTTTCTTTTCCAAAAATATTATAGATTACAATTTACAAATACATTTTAGTGGAACCATTCAAAATAAAAGTAAATGTGAAAAATAAATGAAAATGAAAATGATTATTATTTTTACTATTTAATTACTGTTATATTAATCATATTCAACAATCGAAATTACTGGCCTGTGATAACTGAAATATGATACGTATGTCTGTGATGTATTTTTTTCCAAATACATGTCTTGAAAATACTGCATTGATAGTGGTGTCATCTCTCGTTATTGTAGTCTTGTAGATTCTGCTGGATTGTTTATCATATTATATATAAATTGAATGTGTTCATAAGGAAAGTTTTAAAAGTTTCCGATTTCTTATCATTAAAATTGATGTTAAAGTCACCGAATTGTTATAATTTATAAATTATAATAATTATTGTAAATGCGTGATATGCAGATCTTATTACGCTGTTTCAAATCTTTTTGTTACACCCGTTTTCTATTATACCTACCTAGTCTATACCAAACGCGACACACAAAAAAATGTAATCCCAGCAAAGGTAAAGGGCTGTATAGGGATATATTATGCAACAATCAGATTATTCTACGAAAACAATTTCATGAAATAAAAACGTTTAAGCGTCGTGCAAGGAGATTATAATAATATGCATATGAGATATGTAACCAAAAGTTTATGATTTGTAAGGAGACCGTGGTATAGATTTCAGTGTCTGGTTGTGCATGGAATACGCGTGATATACGAGCCCAGTACTTCTGAGGATTTCCACTTTTTTCCCCGGCACTATGGGGATTCCCATTGGGGCCATTCCCACTTTACGGCCCACTAGATGGAAAAAGGTCGCTTTCCAAAGCTTCAACCGCTGTCGAAAACCAAACTTTCGGTGCAGGCGTGACAAAAAGTATATTACCTACGTACGATTTAATATTTATATATATATATTATATACTTATTACATAATATTATATTATTATTTATTAATTTTACCTAATAATTTTAAATGTATAATATATACGTAGTGTAGCGATGTATTATCAATAATTATATATATTATATAGGTATTTATTACATATTATATTATATTTTAATAACTAGGACTGCAAGAAATTGAGCTGAGCGAGTTAAACACACCGAAGCTAATTGAACTTATATTTGCTCCTTTTCTTAATCGAGGCATGTTTCAAGTATATTTGTTGTGAAATTATTGATTTATGCCGGATCTATCTTTCTATGGAAACAAAATTCTGGTAGCAAAATTAGTTTAAATTTAGTTTTTCGGTGATTATTCCTCGATGGTAGATCGGACATCGATCAAAACCACTTGTTGGCACTCAGCGATGTCCACACTATCACCGTGCCAATAGTTTGGTTCAGATCGGTTAATCCGTTGGAAAGAAGTATGCCGTTTAGTAAACGGCTATCCCGCGTATAAGAGCTTCGCCTCGCTCAGCTCAATTATACCTAATAATTATAAATGCATAATATTATACGTAGTATAGCGATGTAATATCAATAATTATATTATTAATATACGCAAGATATTTATAATCAATCTATTGCGGACCGTCTCTACAATACTTACCGCTCCCGCTTTTTTTTTTGTTCCATCCTACCAATCGATTTAATGTTTGCGTGTAGATTAGACCTCTGGGAAGAAGACGGGTTAATTTAAAAATGGTTAAATTTGGTTTTTTTTTATTCGTCGGATTTTAGCACGATTAGGTTAGGTTAGGATTTTGTGTTAATTGATTATATCAAAATAAACTTGTTATAACTTTGATATTTTAGAGTTAAATCTTACACTTATGTACAAACAGCACGGGCCCGCAATCTACCGCAGTATATATTATGATAATATACTGGTGTGAATCAGAATTTTTATTCCGGGCAACGCAAAAGTTAAGATAAATTTTGAACACCATAGGTATACACTGAATATTAAATAACGAATTGAACAAAGTTTGAGTCATAATATAGAGTTGGTATATATTTAACGTGCAACGAAGTGCACGGGATCGGATAGTATTAGGTACCTATATATAAATGTGTAGTAAATCGTGTTTGTTTAATCTATTGCACCCAATTATTATGCTTAAATAAGGCGTTATTCAAACCTTTATTTTTAGAACTATCACGTTTTCTTATTCAATGCCATGATAATGTTCATAGTAAAATTACATTTTCTGTATTTTCGAGGACTGTTTTATGGCGACACAAACTTTTATTTTTACAAAATTATGAGAACATCCAATATTGACTCAATGAATTACATCCCTTACCCCCGAAAAAAAAATTAGTACTACCTATATTATTTTATCTTAACGGTGATTTAATTACCTGATAGTGGGCTCAGAACCAAAATGTGCCAAATCAATTTTTTCGATAATCCATATTTTGATACACACAGGTTTAATGATTAACGCTCTATAAACTAAGCTCACAGCCAACCTTGTAGGTCCATTATTTACACTAGTAAATGTTATTATTTTAATGCCCATTTGGTATTTAATAACAGATTTGATATTTTAATACGAAGTAACTGTATTTTTTTTGTTATTATCATACAGCAATATATTCAGTATAGTCTGATTTGCTACCAAAGCTTAATAATGAAAATTGAAGCATTTATTCTGATCCAATAAAGTCACTTTTCTCAAAGTCTAAAATGTACAAAAAAAGTGTCTACAAAAAGTGAAGTAAAAAAATCTTAGTGTTTAAAAAATACTGTTTGTTTAAAAATAGACGTACCTAAACATATCAAAAACAAAGTTTCTTTCTTCTTGTAGAATGTAGAATGTAGATGATAATAATAATATGCAATTTTAATGTTTGGCCAAGGTCGGGGATAAAACCTGTAATATAATAATATTTATACGAGTTATATACGGTGTTATTTATTAATGAAAAAATCACATAATTTTATAATAATAAAATTATATAGTACTGTAACACCATATTCTAAAACGAAATTGAATAAAATTCGAAAAATTATAATGACAGACGGCCGACGGCCTCGTCCTCTTCGCCGGCTGTTGGCCCGGGTCGGTGACCGGAGCGGTCGGCGCCGCGTGCACGACGCTGACGCGCTGAGGCTGCGGCGGGCCGCGTCCGATCGGGTGATGCTTTCCGCTGTTCTCGTCCATTTTGAGGTGCCGAGCGTAACTATGAGTACGAAGCTCCGTGAACCAGGTGTTCGTGATCGTATATGGCCGGCTTGGTGATGATCTCGTAGTGCGACGTCTTCCCGTATAACCATCACCTCCGCCACCACCGCTGCCACCACCACACATGGCCGCCATCAGGGTTGGGCAGTATCTTCGATACAAGTATCTAAGATACGTATCTTAGATACATTTGTATCTTGTATCTTGTATCTCGATACAATTATGTGACGAGTATCTTGTATCGCGATACATTTTTAGTCAATGTATCGAGTATTTCATGAATTAATTTAATCGAAAGATACTCGATACAATAATGCGATACTTTGAAAAATTAATTGTTTACGATTATTTTTACTCGTCAGAAACCACTTTTGAAAAGTGACTAATGTGTTATTATTACTGAAAGTGTCCATCGGCGTAACTAGGGGGGCTGGGGGGCTTAGCCCCCCTGCAGTTGTATTTAGCCCCCCTAGAAGGTTTTACATTTTAGCCTCAAATCGAGCCTATAGCTAAAACCCAAATCCGAAAAAATAAGAAAAAAAAATGTTTAAAATAACTCATAATAGTCATAATTAATAAATATTTTATACATATTGATATTGTTTTATTGTGAATGTACAAAACAAATTTATAAGTAATTGGTTACCTATAGTTATAGCGGAAGAAATTGTCTTGACGTATTTAAATCAAAAGCAAGTAGTGCTAAGAAAACTAATAATGATGCACCAAAAAACTATGACCCAAAACAGATTTAGTGATCTGGCTATCGCTATGCTTAATATAGAAAGAGAACTATCTAATGTAATAAACGATGATGATATTTTAAAACTATTTTCATCAAAATATAGGCGTATACAGTTATAAATTATAATGTAAATTTGTTTTTATTGACTAGGTTATACTTTGATTCTATGGTTTATTTTAAATTTTGATTTTAGAGGACTCTTGTGATTACTAAATGCTAGGGATGCTAAAGCGACCCACAAATTATCTTGGACTTGGGTTTTCTAGGATTCCAGCCCCCGTAGCTATTAAATCCTAGTTACGCCCATGATAGTGTCAATGTTTTTTATTTTATTTTTCATTCTAATTACTTAATGAAGTGGCCATACCCACAATAATAAACATAATTTTTAAAAATCCAGTGACTAATTTTATTAAAATGTATTGAGTATCGAGTATCGAGTATCTTGTATCGCGATAGTCCAAAGCCAAGTATCGAGTATCTAGTATCGCGATACTCTAGAGCCAAGTATCGAGTATCTAGTATCTCGATACTCCAAATCCAGGTATCTAGTATCTACTATCTCGATACTGATTTTTGAGTATCTTGCCCATCCCTGGCCGCCATGAGCGCTTTGCCTGACATTGCAGCCAGCGACGAGAATGCGATTGCCGCCAGCGTGCCGGCCGACCTCAGGGCTGCTTTCATACCGTCCTTCTTTCCCCGTCCTGAGTGTGGACAAACAAACAAATATGAACGGTTACCAAAACGGTCGTCACCGGACAACGGTCGCGGTATGTACCGTGCGCGGTGCCTTGGTTAGAACCATATAATATTAACGGTACTGTACGGGTTTTGTCAGTATTCAACAGGTACTAGGTGGTATAGGGATACAAAATCTGTGAATATTTAATAATGTTTACCTATACCTTTGAACTAAATATTAAAACTGCATAATATTTTTATCGGCGTTGCAATTAAAACAACTTAACCTTGTATTACATTTTTCAAGTTTTTTTACAAATTTATAGAAAAATATTGATAATTTCAATTGTCCATAGGTAAGAATAATTTTTAATTACTGAGCAACATTAAATCGCAAAGACGCAAGATCGGTTTTCAAACAAATCGATTTTAGTTTTTGGTGTAAATCTAAGACAAATAACCACAGATACCTACAGGACATTTTCACTAAATGTTTATATAAGCATTTCTATAGGCGATATAATTTTTCTAAGTATTTTGACTTGTTTTCTGCTGTTTACGGACATTTTCAGTTTCCAATTTTAGATTCTGAGCGGATCTAGGAAGCTAGTGGTTTTATAATGGTATTTATTTTTTTATATCCTGTATACAAAATTTCTATCAGAAAGAGTGCTTTGATTTCAACATATAGTACCTTATATTTTAGAAAATTGGATCAAGATGGTACTTTAAAGAGGTCGTTTTTCGATTTTACCAATAGTTATTTAATGCCACGGAAAAAACCACCGAAAAATTACGAAAAACCACATGGCATTTTAATTTCTAACGCCATGTTTATCATCATAGAAACGAATAAAAAATTATAGTATTAATTCAACTCACATGATAATATAATCGACTAGCTGAACCCGTGCTTTTCGTTGCCCGTAAGGCCGTAAAAAATCTCAACTATTAAAAATATTATGATTGTTCAACTCTTTTTGGGAGTAACTTGCTGCGGTAAGTGCAGCTCAGCCACCCTGGTAGGCAATGTTCAATAATATTTTCAATATTATTTCATAATTCAATAATATTCGATTTGATGCAAGCTTGTACATGATCTTTCCGAATAACCAATGGCAACCAATAATAAATAAATACTAATTTCTAATGTAGACTGTAACCAATGGCAACTATTCATAAATAAAAATAAAATTTCCAATTTCCATCGTGAACCTCAATGTCCCTGTTTGAGCACATATTTAAAATGTGAATTTCGGCAAATCATTTCTTATTGCTCGGTGAAAATATGAGGAGAACCTATAGTCCAAATTTCAAGTTTGTACGTTGCGTAGTTTTTGACTTACAGCGATCAGTGACTAAGTGGTATTTGGATTTTATATGTATAGATAATAACAATATAAAATATCCAGACTGACAAACCGTCTCCGCTCAGAATCGTATTTCTTATACAATGATATTATATCATTGAATTCAAGTTTAATACACTCCATTATACAATGACCCACTTGTAACCTACTGTACAGCAGAGGGACATCCACTTACCCGTTTTTTTTTACACTTGATAATATATGAATAGTTGACATAGGTATAAATTTGTCATCTATTATCACCTATAGTGGACCATTCAATATCTTAATCAAATATAGTTTTATTTCTAAAATCAAAAATTAATAAATATCTTAAAAAAAACAACCGATTGGCACTCTAAGTTATCATTTATTCAATGAACTTTGTGTTAGTCATGTACGTTGTAATATTATCTATTGTATTGAATTTAGTTTAGTATATTAAAATTAAATTTTTTCGGCGTGTTTCCCATAATATTTAATATGTACAAATATGTCTTAAAAAAGTTACAGTGGTCCAGCCAAAAACCTACGTGCCAAATTAAGTTGGAGTAAATCGCTCAAGAAGCGTAATTAATTTCTAATATACAATATACTGATATGTTTAGAAAACAGACAAAATTTGGACCAGTAAGCAGTAATAAAAAATAACATAGTATTCATTTGTATGTGCAATTGTTTTTATATAATATTTGCTACCTTAGATTATTTGCAAAAAATATTATTACCTAGTTAATAAAAAGGGTTGCAACGATTAGAGTACACATATTTAAATTATAAAATATATGAGGTGGGAATGGTAATTTCATAAAAATATATAAGAAAATATGTGCTTGCAAGTGAAGGGAGTAGTTTTTTATAAGTTACCCATTTGGGCTGGTCAAAACGTTTGCCACTCTCTATTGAAATATTACATAACGTCATTATTATTCAGTACTGACTACTAACACAATCCTACATTTTTTTCTTTATGACAATAGTAATTATTTAAAAAAATTAAAAAAAAAAAAAACCAGTTATATATGCCCTAAATTATGAAATATGCAATTAAAATCTTAAATTAAGCCCTCAAAAAAAAAAGGGTAAAATATGCATCATAAAAGAATCATAGATTAAATCCATAGGGATGTCTACGGTGGTAGCCTAGGTTGCCTGATGGACTGCCCCTACAATTTTTGAAAGGTGCCGGTCAACCGAGTTTTAAATCAGAAAGGTGTGAATATTTATTATTTTTTTTAAAACTTGATTTTTTTGTGTGTATCGTTATCATTACCATTTACTTACAAAGATATGTTCAACAAAATTAGGTAGATAATATCTTTATTTAACATGTATTGTCAAATATTGATTTCTTGACTCCGAAAATCAGAAAATACTACTATAAAGACTTGAGGCAGACGACGACGGTAAGGTACGTATCTATAGGTATTATTGATATTATGGTTGTATTATGTTTGATTTGTAGTTAGGTGGTGTAATCCAAGGCTGTAGATGAATAATATTTGTGAAGTTACTGTAGATTATTATTGTAAATAGATAATTTAGACTTTTTTTTAAAAATTATACAAATATTTCATTAGGGGGCTTAAAAATACGGCTTTGGGTGTATAGGGCTTTTTTCGGTTCACTAATAACTGTAATAAGGTAGCACCGATCATTAGCTATAGGCTGCCCCTGCCGATGAAGTCTAGTCACGCCTATGATTAAATCGTTATGCCTTCACACAAATTGTGTGCTCAAGTATTAGCATATTCGCTTATTCGCTTGGGCTGATCAAAACTAAGTTTGTCCCATGTGTTGAAAACCGAACATTTAGTACATGACTACTGACACAATCTTCAATGTTCGATAATTATATACTTAGGTATAACTAGGGCTCAGATTTATATGTATTTATATAACCAAGTATGTATTTATACAACAAAAATTTGTGCTAAAGAATTCAAAATATGTATTATCAAAAAAAAAAAAATAATCAATTATTGCTATTGATTTTTATGCGCAGTAGATACAATACAAAATGTTACAGTCACTTTGTAAATGTTCATTTGGATATTCAGAAACACATTTCATTGCTTTGCAAGTTTTAGACGATCTTCCTTTTGGCATTACCTATTGGTAATATATACATGTAAAATATAACAAAAAACAAGGCCACGAAACACACACTACTACGATGTCACATTAAAAGCTACACACTCGTCGCAATGTTCGCTCGTTAGTGTTTAAAAATGTGTTAATCGTAATAAATTACGATAAGATATCTGATATTTCAATCGATAAAATCGTATCTAGAAATAATTGAAACAGTTTTAGTGCCACGGTCATTTAGCCAAGTCAAAAATACGTCCGGTGGA